TAGTGTTATGTTAGAATCATTATTATACTCATACCTTTTGTTCTTTAATATTTTGAATTGTTTTTAGCTTTATTTTTTGTTTTTCATTTAAATGTTAAGTTTTGCAATTTTGTTGTATGCATTTGTCATTTTTATTTAATCTCTTTATTTTTTAAATGTGTATAGGTAGTATTTATAAAGTTTTAGCTTTTAGTTTTGGATCTGTATTTAGTTGTTTTAATACTACAATTGATTGCTTCTGTTGTCCTCATTTGTAAGTCGCTTTGGATAAAAGCGTCTGATAAATGACTAAATAAATAAATAAATGACTAAATATACTGACTTGATGATGGTGAGATTAGATCTCTGTGCATAATTACACTCTAATACATAATGGAATAAACAGGAGTGCAATTTTGTCCAAATGTTCTCTCACCCTCTCGCTGGTGTGGTTTGAGTTTGCTCAGAAAGTGCATGTGCACTTGCAGCACAGGCTTATGTGTTACATCATCTTGCTCAAGAACCAATGGTGTGAAGCTATGAGCCGGTTTCTCAGACACTAAGATGACCTAAAGCAGGTGAAAGGGAAAAAATGACAACAGACAGACAAAACACTAATTTTTCATTTAGATTAAAAACATGTCATTAGTAATGAACATTAAAAAATAAAATAAATATAATGGGATCAACCAAAAAGGAAAATTCTGTCATTATTTATACACACATTAAAAAAACTTCCTTCTTCTGCGGAACACAAAAGATTATATTTTTGAAAAATGCAGGTAACCATTTTGGTGACCACTGACTTTCACTGTATTGATAAAAAAAAATCCCCTAAAACATATTTTGTGTTCCACTAAGTCAGTCATACAGGTTTGGAATGACATGAGGAAGAGTAAATGATAACAGAATTTTAATTTCTTAGTAAACCATCTCTTTAATATTCACAAATCAGAACAGAATATGACACCATGCAGTTCATCACCTCTGGGTCTGCATCTTCTCGTTCTCTCCTCTCAATTTCCAATCTCCGTTTTTCTCTCTCTGCTAATCTCCTCCTGCGCTCCTCCTCTTCTTTCAGAGCGCTCTGTGTCTCCTGGGCCAGCTGATCCACCTCCAGAAGCCGTCTGATCTGCCTCCGCCCTCGAGGGGTGCCCCTCAAATGCTCCTCAGAGGTTGGAGAGACATCATTCTGCACATTATACCCCCCAAAATAAAAAAGCTTAAATTATTGACGAATCCACATTCACAGCATCTATGGTGTAAAAGGATGTACAAACACACACATTAGCAGTGGTGCTCTTGTCAGGTGTGCGCGATGGACTCTGAAACTCCTCATTATGAGTGGGCGACTGGGACCTACAAAATAAATAGTCTTAAATTAACCTTCACATATTTAGGCTTATTATTAGTAGGTAGTAATTGAAAATGAGTTGTTTTGTGAGTGTTTAATGTCCAGAGCAGATTGCAGTTGATGAATAAACTGTGATGATATGAGCTTTACCCCATTTCCTCACACTCTGAATGGCTGAGTTCATCATACATGCCGCTCGATACGCTTGTTTCATCACTACTCACTACGATAAAAACAAAACAGTACCATATCTGACTGAAGAATCATCACTAAGGTACTATTATTTGAAGAGTAAAAAACTGCATAAATACATATAACTAATGTACTTTTGAGTTTTCAAAGACTTTTGACTCACCAATAACACATTCTGATTCTTGGACTTCTCTTTCTCTCTTTTTCTTCACCTCTTGCTTTTGTCTTTTTGCTTCTGTCTCTGATAAGGTAAGACCATGTCGCAGCAATCGGTGCTGGTGCCGTGACCCTGACTGTGACCCACTGCAATCTGAGCAATCGTTATCTGCAGAAAAACTGTTCTCATGTAACAATAAAACTACATGAATACTATGTCTAATAACATTTTCAACTATTTGACTAATCTGCTGCAGATTGTTATTAATCAAATTTATTTTAAGTGTTACAACACAAAGTAACTTAAAACTACAAAAACATTGTATACTTGTATCAGTTTCAGAGGCTGGGTATGCTGTTATACATTAGAAATGGCATATATATTGAATTACAGGATTTGCAAGGTCTGTTCCCCACGGTACCAGTGGTAATGGTCATCGCTCACCTTCCTCTTCTGTTGTCTCTGATGTTCTGGTCTTGCTCTTCTTCTGCTCTTCTCTCATGCTCTCTGATTGCTCATCTGAGCTGGCATCCAGCTCAGAAGCAGAGGAGAGATTAGCTCTGATCTGAGCCAGCAGAATCTGCTTCGCAATTCTTTATAGAATAAGTGATGGGATGGGGCAGTAATGAGAGAACAGAGAGAAAGGGGATGAAGAGAAAAGAGAGAAGGACAAAATGTGATGTGGGTGACAGATGGATTCAGATTAATTAAACAACTCATCTTTCTCCCACCGCTTTCAATATTATTTCTTAAAATTGAACTTAAATAGTAGCAAAACTATTTGTTTTGTTATGCTGAAACAATTCAGAAGAACAGAACCATGAAAGTAAATAATAATTACATATATAAAAAGACAAATATATAATAAACATAAAACATAAATTAAAATAACAGGTTACTGGACAGTGTAGAAGATCCAATGGACTGTTTAGTGGTGTGTTAATTTAGCAAATGAATACAAAAAAACAACACCCCCCTTATTACTGAGTGAAATGTAAAAAAGCAGACAAGAAATGTAGATGAGATCTTTTTACAAAGAGGCAGACATTAACTTAGCACCTCTGAATATGACAAACTAAATGCACCACCCAAAAATGAAAAAAATGTTTTGGGTCATTGTAATCCTTGAAGACTTCCATGACCTATCTTCAGTGTTCTGGCTGAGGGAAGGAGGTTCCCGTCCAAGCTTTTACAGAAAAACAGCCCCAAAGCATGTTTCCACCTCCGTGCTTGACTGTAAGGATGGTGTTCTTGGGGTCATAGTCAGCATTTCTCTCCCTCCAGACACAGCGAGTCGAGTTAATGCCAAAGAGCTACATTTTGGTCTCATCTGACCACAGCACTTTCTCCCAAGCCTTCTCTGAATCATTTAGATGTTCTTTGGCTAACTTTAAACGGGCCTGTACATGTGCCTTCTTGAGCAGGGGGACCTTGCGGGCGCGGCAGGATTTCAGTCCATTGCGGCGTAGTGTGTTACCAATGGTTTGCTTGGTGACTGTGCTCCCAACTGCCTTAAGATCATTAACAAGCTCCTCCCGTGTAGTTTGGGACTAATGACATTATTTACTGTCTTTACATTTATTTTGAAAGATGAAGCTCGCGATTATGGTAAGGGGCGTTACATTTCCGACGAGTGCTTGCAGTGTTCGGCCAATCACAATGCACTGGGTCAGCTGGCCAATCAGAGCAGACTGCGCTTGTCGGAAGGAGGGACTTTGTAGAAAACTTTGTAGCTTGAGAGAGGCGGGGCATAGAGGACCTACAATAATGTACAGTATTTGAAAAATAATGTGTTTTTTGAACATTAAAGCATGTCAACATATTCTGTTACACCAAATACACAAAATAATGATCTTTAAAAAAGCATCATATGACCCCTTTAAAATAAATCTACCATAATTTCAGACCCTTCATTTCTTTTTAAGTGGGCAAACTTACAAAATCAGCAGGGGATCAAATAAATATTTTCCCCACTGTGTGCATGCATATATATATATATACACAAAATGCACAGAGGCTGTTGTGACTGGGGTATAAACTTTTATTACAACTACAATTCTTATACAGTTCTTACACAGTTATTTACATTCCCTCTTCTGAAATGCAAAGTCATGCATGCTTCTTTTTGATGAAAATGTGTCTGTGTAAAACGTTTCAATAAAACAATGACAATAAATACTTTCAAACAAAGAACATTAGCATGCAATAAATACTCAAGCTTTAGGGTTTTTGAAATCCAATGAGTGCGAGAGGATTCCACAAGAAAGTAAAGAAACGGACAACAAACAGAAAAGGACACTTTTAAAGATGGGTGAAAAATGGCAGGGGTTAATCTATTATTGGAAGCATGTTAATTAAGGTTAGGCAGGGTTCCCACTCTGTCCAAGACATTACTTTCCATTTCTTCAAGGCATTTTATGTGACCAACATCTCTAATATTTAAGAAATACATCTGTGGCCTGCTGTTGTTTGCCACAGAAAATTAAGTTGACTCATCCACTGGTTTTTAAAAATAAAAAAAATAAAAGCACAACACTTACAATGGAAGTCTAATAGGTATGAGCTTTTAAAAACACAAACGCAAAGTTGATTTTTCATGAATTCTCCAGTAAAAATGTTTGTCATTTGAATTGTAAAGGTTCAGTGATCGACTGAGCTTATACACACTAAACACAAACACAAAAGATATTAATCGATAGCACCCATCTCATGCTAAACACATGTAATGTGTAAGTGTTGTGGTTAGGAGACGAGTCAAGTCATTTTCTGTGGTAATGGACTGCAGGCCACAGATTCTGATTCTGCTGTATTTAACCGAGAATATTATTTTAATTAAAGATGAAAAGAAATTACAGGTGATATACCCACTGAGGTATTGTGGTTACTGGAATGGTTCTAAATGCACAGCTAATGTTAACTAGCTGTTCATTTGTGTGACCAGAGAAGCTTCCGGATGATTCAAACTGTCCAGTCCACTCAAATAGGCTGAATAAAGTAACTAACCTTTGGGAAATAATAATAATAATAATAATAATGTTTTGCAATGTGTGTGATATCAACATCACTTGATATCAGTGAGTGATATCTGAAGAAATGACAGTGATTGTGCAGACTATGAAGTGTACTTGCTCATGAAAATACACAAGCAGACACAAATGATAAAACAAAACGATATGATTCTGCGACCTCATTCATGACAGAATACATGAAAACTGACCGCAGTTCCAAGTCCTGATCGGTCCGAGGATTTCTTCATTTTTTACGAAAAAGTTGACAATACAGTGAACAAGTTTGATTAAAAGGTTACAGTACTCCATTTAAGTACATTTCCCAGGACTTATCCATTACTGGAAAATCGCATTACAAAATTCAAGGTTTTCCAAGTTTTCCAGGATGCGTGGGAACCCTGTTAAGCTACAGAAAAAGAGACGAAACGGGGGGAAAAAACAGAGAACAAGAGAAAGAATAAATAAGTGTTTATTGCCTCTCCGTAAGAACCATGCAAATAACACACAGAAACCTCCCATGTAAGAGTGAAGACTACACTCTTTATCCTCAAACACACTGTGCTTTTAACAACTGACTACACAAAAGTTAACAGACTGCATGTTGAGTCTGAAAGAGCATCATCTCTGCCACCTGCTGCTCCCCCATGAACATTCTAACACAAATGGAAGCCAGGTCCACCAAAGCAAACGTTGCACATTAGGGTTTATTCAGCCTTTTAATCATTTTTATTCATATAAATATTTAAAAAAAGGGGGGAAAAAAACACAAGTCTGACTTAAATGTACATGCACCATTACTCGGTGTGTCATCAGTACATGCACCAACTGCTGGGCCATGGCTCCAATCTAAGCTGCCATTTTGAACCACGAACTCAAAAACTTCATGTGGAGTCATGTTTCCCTTTCCCTCACATTTTCAATCCCTGACATCCATCAACTTCTGCTAAAACAGGATGAACTTTTGACCTTCTTGCCAATTCACAAGGGCATATATACTGTGCATATGATTTAAAAATGAAATACTAATAAAACCAATAAAAAATACATAAGTAAATCTAAGCACAAAAACTAACTTTAACAAATGCAGTTTAGACAAAGACAAAAACATCTTCAGCTTAAGCACCTTAAAGGTAGAAAATTCGGCTGTTGAAGAATTAATGTCCTGAAAAAGAACAAACACAACTGCATTCAACACTAATACTGCACTACTACACCCCTAACTGCCTAAGAAACTTTTGTTCACTCGAATTCCACCAATAATGACATTTCACTGCCAATAACAAAAATGTTATGTGAAACTACTTTAACACCTACCGTTAGCAAACCACACAGCCTTTGTTCTGACTGACCGAAAACATTACAGCATGAGAACCCGGAAGCTGAGCCCTAAAACACAAACACACACAAGAAGTCGTCTGTCTTACTGAACACAGGATCCATCAGATCCAAGCAAAGAGGTTTAATTAGACTCGTTCTACTCTCTTAAAAGCTTTATTAGCAGCACAGACAGTAAAGAGGAGAGTGTGGCTTTCAGAAATACTGCCAAAGACATGCAATGGTCTGTGTCAGTGAAGTAAAATTCAAACACAGGAGCTTCTCCAGAGTTGATTCACTGACTTCCATTAGACAGTGAGGTCTCAGAGCTTCACCACTGATGGGCGGTGTGTGCCTATGGTTACAGATTCTCTCTACTGCGTGTGGAAGAAACTGTGGGGAAATAAAAATCGGACAGTGTTGATCGAGTAAAAGAAGCGTGTTTGAGTGAGACACATGTTCAAAAGCACTGTCTAGCGGCGGTGCATGTGGATGTTTGGTATGCGTGCGTGCTTTTAAACAAGGTTTGGATCAAAGCTCTCACTGTAGTGAGTTTGGGACAGCCGAAGTCCAGTGGAGAAGGCCTGTGATGGGAAAGTGTGTGTGGCCCTGATGTAGACAGAATCGTACCTATTTTCTAAATCATCGTCCTCCACAGACAAAGACGGACCTGGCTGGATGTCCATCTCATCACCTAGAGACAGACGGAGAGAATGAATGATTAAAATCAAACACAACACACCCATTTATGCTTCTGAAATATGAAAAACAAAAAAGGAATTGATCGGACATGCATTATACATGTTTACTTTGTAATAACGTTTTCCTGGTCTTACTAAATAAAGAGAATAAGGGTCGATGTTGGCTTATTGCACCAAACTCACCGGAAGACTGCTGGAAATTTCCAGAGCCCAGCAATGTGACGCCCTCTGTCAGCGGTTTGATCCTCTGATCGTCAGAGTCACTGCTCTGCCCACTCTCCAGTTCCTGTCCTCCCACCTCACTTGACGAACTCCCACTCTGTCCTGACATCCTGGAAACTTTGTGGGCTCTTCCCCTGGTAATTCTGACTGTTGACCCCTGGTCCTGGGAGCCCCTCGTTGAAGACGCAGAAGAGGATGATGAGGATGATGAAGATCTCTCTTTGAGATTCCGCTTACGAGAGCCTCTGTCCGGAGGTGTGGTTTTTACCAGTCCGAAGAGACACTGCTTTCTGACGTGCTGGTTTACCTCATCCCCGTCCCAACTGCTACCTACCAAACCCTCTTCCTCGCTGTTCGCCATGGCAGCAGCGGTCTGGAGCAACACTTCAGGCACCTCGTCAGAATCAGAGTCATCCTCAGCTAAACCAGCGTGCTCAGCTGTGGTGCTCGGGTTCGTCCTCCGCCGACGTGGTGTGGTTTTCACACGTGGAGAACGTTTATTCTCCTCTGATAGAGACACATTTTTTTGGTCAGTCTGGTCCTCTTCCTCCTCCTCCTCCTCATCATCATCTTCCTCCTCCTCCTCCTCCTCGTCATGGTTATCACAATATTTTTCCACATCTTCTCCTCTCTCAGCCATTCCCTCCATTTCCATCCCCTTTTCTATCTCCACCACTGTCCCCCTTTCTTCCAGTGCTCCATCTGTCACCCCACTCTTTATCTTTTGTCTGTCAGGTGATGGATGAATGGAAAGACACGTACTGCTGATGGGTTGTGGGCTAACCGGTACAGGAGTGAGTTTAACCACCAGCTTTTTAGTGAGTCCTGGGCTCTGTGATGACATTCCCTTTTTCTGTCTGCCCTTCCCTTTTGGCTTATGCCTTTCAACTCCACAGGCACGTTTGGACCCAGTCAGCTCATGGTCTAGGGATTCCTGCAATTATGAATTAGACATTGCTGTAATACATTCATATGAACAAATTGTAAAAAGAAAAAAAAAAAAGTATGAGTCCCCACAACAATATTTAACAGAACAACAGTCTTCAACTGTGTACCATATGAGCATCATCTCTGCCACCTGCTGCTCCCCCATGAACATTCGAACACAAATGGAAGCCAGGTCCACCAAAGCAAACATCGCACATTAGGGTTTAATCGGCCTTTAAATAATTGTTATTTATATATATATTTTTTTTTTTAAAGGGTGGGGGGGGGGGAC